TTAACACGTACCACTACACTAATATAAATGTAACCTAGCTTTTATTCTTTCTAAGAATTATCTACTTCGATTTAGGCTATTTTCTTCTTGCACGTTTATTAATTCGATTGTTCTTTCATATTTTTGATCATATATAATTTCTCCTCAACGAATAATAACGTAAAAATGATAATAAAAACGAAAGAGGCATAGTTTGACTTGGACACATTTGAAGAATATCTCTATCGTCATTTAATGAATTACTTTATACCTACCGAACATAAACATTATTCATTTCTATTATTCTTTCATTTCTTTTTCTTTTTCTCTTTATATTATTAAATGCGGTACGGCAAATAAATAAAGTTTTATCTCTACTTCGTTGTAGTTAAAAAAATTTCCATATCGTAACACTGACTAGTATTCGAAGATGATATACATAAGTAAACGAGTTGAATGTAATTTTCGAAAGAGCGCCGCTCGCTCGATAAATTTCATCGTAAAAATGCTGCGAGCGATTCTACTACCCGCCTAACTATACTTTGAATCGACTTTGTCTCGTCTCTCTCTCTCTCTCTTTCTTACCATCGTTCTACGATCGAAACTCCAATGCTTTGAATGGATCCGTAAACTGTAAAGCATAACATAACGTCGAAGCTTAATTGAAAAAGTTTAACCCGCCTAAAGATTTCGCACGATATTCAATGATCGATGGAAATTACTACTAAGGACAATGACCAATCCGAGCTCGTTCGTTCCGTATTTTTTGTCGTTGAAATCATTTCGAGAGTGGCTTTCTTTTTTATTTGAGCTAATGTAACACGCCTAAATGAATAAAACCTATGAGATAATACGAGTTATGGATAATGCAGATTCATTTTGTTGATTCGAACGAGCCCTTGATGATTTCCTCGAAACCTTACGTATATATAATATCGTAGTTAAAACGTTATACCGCGCGTTTCCTCATACACATTACATGTACATACACACGTGACAAACATTGACAAACTAGAAATTATATCTGGGAGAGCGATGACGTGAATATACGTATACGTGATCGTGAGCAACATCGAATAACTGGCCTTACCACGAACGATCGATCCACTGGTTAAACTTTTCTTACTTGATACGAGATGCAAAGCTGTATAATTCCTAAATATTCGAAAATGATCGAATTACCTACAACGTTTGACGATTTATCGCTGGTTTATCGGAAGTATATCTAAACTAATTTAAAAGGAAACAAGTAATGAAACAATACTGAAATGTCTTCATCCTCGATGAGTATCTCTTTCAATAAATGTTCTAATCTGCACCTCGGTGCTAAAGATATAGCCAGTTGCTACTCAAAGATTTTCACTTTCGTGCAGTCTTTACAAAGTGACTGCTAACCGTGAATAATCTTGAACGCAACAACATGTCTATGTGTGTGTGTGTGTGTGTGTGTGAATTCTTTCCCATCATAAAAATCCTATAAAAATTAAAGACGCAGTCATTTTTTTTAACAAGACACACATTAGACATACGTATGATACCCTCTCTCGTATCGATATTATTAATAATTAATATTTGTTCTAGCATTGACTCTTCGATGAGTCAACCTGAGTAACATTGAACTTACATATTTGCATAGTTGGAAAAAAGACAAAAAAATAGATTTCGATAATAGATTTCTTCAAAATGTTGTTAACAAAGAAAATTCCTTTACATATATTTTCACCCGTAGAAAAGAGAGGTATAACGAATCATCTCGAAAGAAAGAAAAATGTACAAAATTTAACGTTTAACCCGTAGCGCGTTGAATCGAGACAGACGGACGTAATTTTGCATTATCCTCGACATCGCGCCCTCTCCTTTTTCTCTTCCCTTTGAAATTCTCGACACCGCAAGTACGATCTGCTGATTATGTAATTCGTCTTCCCGTAGACGTAAAGTTATATTCGTCGGTATTCGACGCCGCGCCGTATCTCCCATCCTTTCAATGCATAGAAGAAGCGAGCAACAAAGTTTCATTGCACCCTTTCGCTATTGTCGATCCTCCTCGTATTCGCTCGCAAGAACAACGAGTCGTTCTTCGTGATTTTTTCGTATCGGCTCAAAGAACCTTATCTCTCTCTCTCTCTCTCTCTCTCTCTCTCGTGCACGTGCAGAGTCCTTCCGCGCGCGCACAACGACGATAGCAGAGGAAAGAGAGCGTATGCCTTCGTATTGCCTTCTAAAGAAGGCAACTCATCCAACGACATTTATGCGTCTCCTGTGGGTGCTCCTACACGATCGGTTATTTATAAAGCCATTCACGATAATCAATAACCTATGCCTATATACCTCCTCTCTCTCTTCCCTCCCCCTCAAGCTCACCCGTACAACAGCGAAAATTCACCAACACTCGATACACGAACGGACCCTCCGAGTTTTAACTGCGAGCGAAGATTGAGATCGACAGAGAGAAAGAAAGAGATGAACGAACCAACTATTATACGTACATTCGTCCGTAAGTATATACACGTATGTATATGCATGTTACATCTTTGAAAATAAAGTTTCTATTTTTTCTTCCTAAACGCTAATAATAATAATAATAAGATGAAGAAGAAGAAGAAGAAAAAGTTATAGTTCGATAGAATACTATCGGTATTACCTTCGAACCGACCAAACCCTGATACAATAAACTTAGTTTTTTCTCTCTTTACATCTGCATCTTCTAAGCTTCCCGTCGCACGAAGGAAAAGTATTCTCGTTCGGATATGCGAAAAGTATCGGTTTTATTCCCACGTAGTGGCGTTCAATCCGAAAGTCTTGCTCGATCCATATCCCCGATGATAAATTGGATTTAACGGAAAAATATTCAATTTGCAATAGATATCCTAAAGATCGTCATTACTTTTGAATATCTTGTTTAGTAACTTCGAACGAATTCCAGGAAATTCGATGGAATTCGACTAGAAACGTAAAACGTACTAAAGAGCAAAAAAAATACGATCGTTTATTGCTCTATGAAAATTATAAAGAAGAAAAAGATGAAAATTTGATTTACCACCAGCACGGATTCAGAGAATATTTGAAATTTTATAAAAAAAAAAAAAGAATTGAATTGCCTCGATGGTGACGCACGTAGATTGTGGAGAGTTCGTTACTAGTTGTATTTTGCTTGGGAGCTAGGTAGTGCCAACCGAATTCCATGGATTACGTTTTATATGTGAAAAAACTTTTCATCTACCTAGAACCGGTGGCCGACTTTTCATCGACAATAATTGTTCGCTCGGTTCTCGCGGTTTTGTTCGTCGAGTAAAAGGAATAAAAAATGCAAATGGATATAACGAAAATGAAAAAGAAAAGGAAATATAATAATGAGCTTTAAGAAAGATTCGTTAAAGGATTAAATTCGGTAAGAAAGTTGGCGAAAGAAGGTGACAAGCTTAAAGTTTATGCAAATTTATTGGTGAGGACGATAAAGCGCGACGAGATTTCAAATCCAAAAGGATCTAGCGAATTTTCTCTTTCACGGAGATAGAACGTCGCTAATTACTTTGAACTTTCTGTTCTAATCAAAAAGAATCTCGCATTTTCGGCGTGTACAACTTAAGAATATTTCTGCACGTTTCTCACTTAATCGATTCATTAACGAAGACGTATTTCACAAATCGGCTGCGAAGGGATTATATGTTATCATACTGAGCTTAGAAGCGTCGATTGTCTATTTTCTTTCTCTCTTTTCCGTCTTCGACAAGACGTTTGAAAATGCCTAACAGCTTTGGGGAAAAGCGTTACGTTGATTAATATAAATTGTAAAAGAAAAAAGCAACGAACTTTATCGTCGATAACGATTTAGAAAGTTCAAAAAGGAAAAAAAATTATATTTTCAATGATCGAACAATGACGAACCTATCACGTATGGGTAATGTAAGCTTGTTAAAAAGGCACCCTTGTCTGTATTTCCCCCCCTCCTCTCTCTCTCTCTCTCTCCCTCTCTTTTTCCTAGCAAACGTTTAGAGACACGAGAAGAATCGTATGAAGCATCGATCGAGGTCGAGACGCCCGGAAAACTTATCGGAAAACGCGTTACGCGCGAAAATCCTTCGGAGACGAGTTCTCTCTCTCTCTCTCTCTCTCTCTCTCTCTCTCTCTCTCTCTCTCTCTCTCTATCGTTCTTAGCAGTACGATCGAGAGTCTTCGGCACTTCTTCTTACATCTAGCGAAGAAGCATCGATCTAAAAATATCATTCGAATTAGTCTTCTACTTCGTTGATAGAATTTTTTCAATGAAATAATAGCTTGATAAAATGATTGTTGAATCTTTTTTCAAAAATATATTATCTTAATTCTTAATACATCTGAAATTTTACTATTCGCTCGAACCTTGACACGACAAAATTTCGAAATGCAAAATGAAAAGAGATCGAAAGGACGAATGCATGGGCGTCCACAAGTATTGTATATTAAAATATACGTCTAGAACTCCGATAAACATTTCTCGTTTGAATAAGTGGCTCGTCCTCTCTCTCTCTCTCTCTCTCTCTCTCTATCTCGTAAACTGAGCACTCGAAAGCTCACACACTTGATCACCCTAGAATGAAATCGATCCACCGCGATCCTTGCCGATCTTATTAGCAGCGAGTTAGGCACACTACACAAAATTAAATAAGCGATAAAAGTAAAGGAGTCTCTTGGAAAGATGCCACAGGTCTTCGTGGGGATCGTCGAACGAGTTGTCGCACTCACAAAGATCCGAGCTCGCACCAAAGACAAAAACTCTGACTCTCTCGTTGCGATCGCGCGATAAGGATATATATTTAAAGAAAAGACAGCGAGAGAGAGAGAGAGAGAGAGAGAGAGAGAACGGGGCAGGGCGAAGGAGGAGAAGGGGGAAGGGCGGAATACGAAAAGGGTGGAAGAGGAAAGAAGCGAGAAACGAAGAATTGAGAAAAAGATGGCAAATTCGATAAAAAGGGTAAAGTATAGGAAGGTAAAAAAGGTGAAAATTGCGATCGTCGTTTAATCTCGTGGTTGATCTCGCGTACCTGTGATCGGTTGATCGGTGGTGCAGGGCGCGGCGGCATGGTCCCGTCGCAGCACAGCGCCGTTCGACGAGCACTGAGCAGCTATTCTGCGCCAACGGGGTTGCGTCGACGTCGAAAAGACGTGAACGGTCAGCCCTGCGCCCTCTCTCTCTCTCTCTCTCTCTCTCTCTCTCTCTCTCTCTCTCTCTCTCTCCTGCGCACACAGCCTTTTTCGCTCCGGCAGCAGCACGTCCTCGACGTTGTCGTTTCGTCGTCGACTCTGCGCAAACTCTTCCACGCGAAATCGGCTTCTCTCTTACTCCCGTTCCTCCATCTTCTCCTCTCTCTTTTTCTTAAACGCGCTGCAAGCATCCCTCCCGGTCCATCCGTCTTTCTATCTGCGAAGAACCGACGGAATTGGTAAAAGCCAGATGCTGGGAAGAAAGAAGGCTGTGGGAGGAAAGTGGTATACTTTTGAAAAATTCTCTATCGCGTCCATTCTTTCTTCCTTTTTATCCTCCTCTCTTCTCTTTTCTTTTCTTTTCTTTCCTACTTTTCTCCTTTTCCTATTTTCCTTAGATCCTGCTCGTTCTCTCGCCAAGCAAGTTTTTCAATATTTCATCTCCCTTTCTATTTTTATTCCTATTATTTATATTTTCCAATTTAAAGAATTACTTTTATTATGTTTGCTGTGCGCAAAACGATGCGCGAAAATAATCGAAATAGTTTGATATAGATAAAATATATAAGATAACGCGTTGTCAGTAATTAAAAAAGATAAGGATTATCGGTAATAATAAGTATAACGATATACAAATAATCTCGAGAATCGTTTTTATAATATAAATAACCAACGATAATATCAAATGCATATAGGAAAAGCTTAATAAAAAGTACTGTTACATATTGTTCGATCCAATTGCTAGTTACCTATAGTTAGTTATCTCTTGACCAATTCTCTATTTAGAAACTTTAAGAGAAACTCAATTTTAAGAGAAACTTTCTCAAACGATATAACGATACGAGAAGGATCTATTCGTTATTTAACATTACATAAGGTTATCAATGAAAAATAACGAAACGCGTGAGGAACATTGCGTCTACGAAAACGTGAGAGTTATCAATTTATGGATGAAAGAAATTCGAATGAATTAGTTCATAAAGCTTCCTCCCAAAGTCCCAAGAAACTTCGGTCGGAATGATTTACGTTCCTCTTCTATCGACGAGTGCCAAGAGAACGGTAGAATTTTGACTTTGAGGCAGATATCCGAGGTCCGAGCCGCAAAAATAAATGAGAAAGGAGAGCACAGCCTGTTGCGTCTCCTGTACGAACGAACGAACGAACGAGCGAATAAACGTAGGTAAATGAACGAAGAAGGGATGAAACTGGTTGCTAGTTTACGAACGGAACAAGTGGATACCGAGGTCGAAAGGTATTATATGATAATTTTCTCTCCGAAGATATAACTTCGTTTATTATAATAGATATAAAATATTGAAAAACCAATATTTATTATGAAATGTAAAGTGCAACGATTAGAATATTCTTACCATCATCCGATTTTGCAATAACGGCTTCTCTTATTAATCCAATTTCGAGGATAAATTTATATGATCGCCCTACCGATAAAAAAAGTTGACGTAATTTATAAATCCCCTGCCTCTTCTTTATTTTCGGAAGCTTCGAGGGTGGCCTCATCATTACGAGAGCAGAGAGAGCAGAGAGAGCGGAGAGCAGGCCCTTTCTCTCTCGCTCTCCATCTCTGGCCGGACATCATTACGCGGATTTTACTTTTATCGCTTCGTGCGTTTGGTCCTATTCTTTTATAAATATATATGTGTGTATATATACATATGTATACATATATATATATATATATATATATATAAATACATGTACAAATACATATACATGTTCTAGGCTAGCCAGTCAGCGCGGTATCGATGTTCCTCGTTCATTCTCGTGAACGCGTCTACGCGCCTGTTCGTTCGGAGAACCGAATAAAGGAGGAGACGATGATAGAGCTCGACAGCGGCAAAAATAACAAAGTGGGGGAAAAAAAATAGGAGAAAACCTTTTCGACGATTTTCTTCGACATTGTTCCCTACTTTTATTTCTACTTTTTCTTATTCTTCTGATTCTTCTGCTCGAAAGGAAAGTATGTTATTTAACAATATCTCTTCTTGTTTCTTCGAAAAAATAATACCCATTAAAGTTAGGAAAAAGTTATTTTAATTAAACAAAATGTTTTATAATGAATTTTAGAATTCGTTCATCCGAATTGTTCCTTTAAATTATTTCCTTATAGATACTACGATATTACTACACGTATAAGGTCCTCTATATAAGATCCTCTTCTGGAAAGTCTTGATCGTCTTGGTAAACGAAACAAAAACAATTGATATATTATCTTGAAGATGATTACCATTTAAGATATCAATATTTTTACGATCGTTGTTTCGTAACATTGATTAAAGTGACAAAATATAATGTAGATAAGAGAGACCGATTACTCGTTCGCCAATCAGAATATAATTTCAAGAAATATCTTGATTCTTATCAGATAACTTTGTTTCTCTTTTATCATGTCTGGAATATAAACGGTAGTCGTTTCGACGATTCCGTCAAGTTCTGTTCTTACCATGGTAGAAACTATCTCTATAATATTTTCATTATTATAGAGATATATGCGGAAGATGATTAAAAATATCTCTCTTATTTACCCAAGTTGATGGATAAAGTCGAAATGACCAAAATAGCACAAGGATAGCTCGACGTATCCGTTGAAATCGCTGCTGTATCTACGGATTTGAGGAATGTTTCGAGGAAAATTCATGTAAACGGTCACGATAATCTGCAAATACGACAATAGTAAATTGGAAATTCCATTGCGGTAGTCCATTGCGAGTGTCCAGCACGATGAGCATTTCGCTAGTTACAATTATGGAGTGATTAGAACGCGTAGGTGTGACCTCCCGATGTAGAAACTTCATATTCCGTGCGGTTGATTAACTCGTCGCATCGAGCGACTCGAACAGGATCGATCATTGCTCGTTCATAACCCTGACTAAACCGTAAATAATGCCATATCGTGGAACATTAATCGTCCCATTTTCACAGCAAACCTCGACGAGCCAACGTGCGATTCCTTAGTTCCAAGACTCATTCGAATGTGCTCGATTCTGAAAGAATACCCAAAGTAATAATTGGGACAATAAATTTAATGTAAAAATTATATCGAGTTTATATCGTACGTGCCATAGCGAATAGTTTGGCACAGAGATCAAGATCGAGGAAGAATATTCGTGAATTTGCATCCTCAGCGAGTATGCTCCGGATCAAAAAGAATCCCAATTTTGTTCAAACACGTTATTAAATTACTACGAAGTTTCCCTTTTTTATTCCTTGTACACTCGAACTTTCTCACTCGCAATAGATAAACGATAAATCGAAAATGTAAATCCTATTATTATACGTATGAACGGATGAATATACTTATACATATACCTATTGTATGTATGTTTACCGATGAATCTACGAACGAACGGATATTACTATCCTACGATATGCCAAAGTACTTTGCAATGTATCGCTTTACATCGACCGACGAGGAGAATAACACGTGTAGGACGAACAATGCTTTTGCTAATGAACGATGTACCATTGACGTATCGGAATAACTCTAAAACCGTAATATCGTTCAATGGAATGATTTACACATATCCGTATTTCCTTCGATATGATAATTGTTTGCATTTCTACATGAAAATTTACAGAAATACCATTCTCGAGCGATCATTAATCATATTTTCAACAATCATTCTATTACAACTATTTTTTTATTGCACAAACAACTTTATTTTTTATTGCACGTATAGTTACGTTAGATCTTTCTTTTCGGCATCCACTATGATCTAATTGAACGAGTTTACTCTCAAACTCCCCTCCTCTCTTTCACTCTCATTTCGTTAGATCATTATTATTCATTATATATATATATATAATGAATAATACGCACACGCACATAATAAAAGATCGCGCGTGCCACCTCTTCGCGCATCATGTGATCCTCATACGAATCCCGGTTTGGGAGAAAATTTTCCTTTACCAATAGCTTGAATTTTCTAAGAGGAGAATATAACTTATCTGGAGGTGGCACGATTTCGCGTATCACCTCTTTCGAAACGTCATGCGATCCTGTTATCAATATCGATTCGCAGGAGAAATTTTCGCCTCGTCCAGAATTTGATACATAATAGAATAACCAATATTTAGGATAAGATGAGTAGTCGTAGGATTTAATAAAGTACACATCGGATTTCTTTTCTCGTTGAATATTTTTCTTTTCAATTTAAATTGTTACTTGATAATATAATATACAGTATTATACAGTAGAATACGATATAATATGACATAATTCTATATTCAGTAAAAATATAATACTCGTGGCAACAAAGGACGAACTTCTGATTGCCCCATTTATGCTACTCAAATTGTCGATCTAAATAATTGAAATTTATCTCGTATAAAGTTTGGACTTTGTTTAGAGCACTCAATCGACGACGGGATTGTACACAGATTAATTAACAAATTTGTAATATTATTTATAGCGTATATAAATGACCTCGTATGGTGTGTAGTTGAATTCGTCTTAACGAATGCCAAAAAAGAACGCTGAAAAAGAAAGATGAAAGATATGCGATAAATATCATATTTCGTTGGAAAAAAGAAAAATAAATAAATAAATTTGGCTTTGAAATTTGCTCCGGCATTGGACCATTGGAAAAAAAGATAGGCTTCGTATTACGTACCTCGTCGTCGTACCAAACAAGTCTATAAAAAAAAATTATTTCGAGTTCCTTACACGATATTTCAATTTTTTCGGCATAGACGGAACATGAATATTCTATAAGAGAGGCAGCGAACTCTTCGACAGCGAATCCCTGTGTAATTATACACCGGAACCATTGTTATTACCAAAACAAACAGGCTCTTTGCTTTGAGAACGTTCCAATTAGTCCCTTTACAACTTCTCCCACTCCTCCTGCCGCTCGATGATTCTTGACCAACGGTCACGTTGAGGAATATTCCGTTAACTTACGTAAGTACGTACGTTCGTGTGATTCATTTTGAGAAGAATTAGTTAGTGAAAGGATGAGGGGGGGGGGGGGAGAGAGAGAGAGAAAAATATATTGTATTCTATAATATCTAATAGGTTAATAAAAAGAAGGATTAAAATTGAAGAAGAAAGGACTCCATACTTGGGCATTTAATAAAGGGGGAGAGCTTCGTTGAAGGGCGATTTATTAAAATGAAAGGCCAAAGGATATTCGAGGTGTTTGTAGAAGAAATTCTTTGTCCACCACGAACACGTTAAAACAGTAAGCTCCGTCGGTTTATCTCTTGCTAAATAAATAAATTACTCGAATGAAAATGTTGCCGCGTTAGTACTAGAGTCGTGCTCTAAGCCGTAAAAAGAATTTAATATTATTACACGGCAAAACACTCACCCTCTTATTTTATAGTTGCTTTTACGAAGATTCAGTCGATCGAACGAGCATCAATTTGATTTTCTGAACTTTTACTAGCGTTCTAACGAACTAGAAGGAGGCTAGCCGCAATATCAATGTAAACGCCAATGTAAAGCTTCACGCTTCACATTGCAAAGCTTCACAAGCTTTCAATAACTACTAATGATATAATATCGAAAGTATAATCTTCCGTTAGATCTCGCTGTTACGTCTGTTTCGAGGGGAGAAGGAAAAAAGGAGGAAAGTGTGAAGAGATATGCAAGTTCTCCCGTTCGTTTTCTATGCACGACTACCACGACTACCATGAGTTATGACAACGAGACTCGAGGTACGAAAGTGAACGACTTTTTGTCCGCAAAGGGACTCTCAAGCGGTCGATTTGTTCGTGGTAAACCGCATCGTACCGTAACGTGCCGCATGGCATAGCATCCCACGACGTTACTGCCCTCGTTACGGAAGGTTAAACCTCGACGATTCACCCCGGAGACGCATCTCTTCTCTGAACTACGAACTGCGAACTATCCTCCCACGCACCTTTCCTCTTCCCTCCTTCTTTTATTCTCTCCGTTCGAGCGCGTCGAACAACGTGTTGCCTCCGTACTACATATTTTCCAAGATTTTGCGCGAAACAACCTTTTTTTTTTTTTTTTTTTTTCTCGTCAGGAGGAAAAACCTTCATAGGCCCCCTAAGCCCCGGTACTCAGGGGAGTGTCGGATTCAACCCGCCTGAACATACTCTCAGGTTCGGATCGCCTACCGACTAAAAAACCTCCCGATGCTTAATACTAACTCGCTGAGGAGAAAGGGGATGGGCGGTATTGCGCATAAACGTAGTACATATTCGCCCAGTACCCCTTCTCGGTGAGCCAGGCACTCGGCATTCGCCTTGCTCTCAATCATTCATCCACACTCATACCACAACTATTTACAATTATGGCGCACTCGACAGGGGCCCACGAGAGCCCCCGGAGACGCAATTACTCCCTACATATATACATATATACATACCTATTGGCCTGATCATTACCCCATGGTGCGCTGACCAGGCCCATTCGCGTCCGTATACACACACACACACACACACACACACACACACACACACACACACACTCTCATCCGTATACACTCATACCTAATGTGAAGCGACGCGTGAGCCAGGCGCCGCCTGAGCCGTTCGGAGCCTTGCCCGAGGATGCCGTACTGGAGCTACTCTACTATGCGGCCTATCATTCACCCTTCTGTCCGCATACACACTAGCACGCGCACTCCTACGTCCTTCTTCTTGCGTCCGTTCCCAGGCACCTCTCTAAGCGTCCTCCTTTTCTCGCATGACCCGCCCTGCGAAGGGAGACCCTGACTATCATGGGAAGGATTAGCTGCCCTCCCTCTACCGCACCAATCAGCTCATTCCTGACATCCGTCCACGCCGGGCAGTCTACCAGGGTGTATTCCGCCGTATCCTCACTTCCCCCACAACGTGGAAACAACGTGGGGAGGGAATCTTTCTTATCTTGTAGAAGTACGCCGAGAAACAGCCATGGCCGCTCATCAGTTGTGTGGTGTGAAAGGTCGTTCCGATAGAGAACGACCTCCCAATCCACTCAGCTAACCATTCGGTAATAGCCGCCCTCGCACGCACTCCCGTTGCTGCTAGTGATTCTACGAGCCCACTTTTCCTCACTTTTCCACGCTTCTATTGCCCTCCTTCTGGCAAGAGCACCCAATAATACAGCCTTAGTACACGGGGGAACAGGTTCCTCCGCGTCCCTAACGGCCGCATACGCCTCCGCCAGCCGGGGTGCCAGATGAACGAGAGGAATAATCCCCGCAATCATCATAGCCGCGTGGAAGGAGACCGTTCTATAGGCACAATACACCCGGATCGCCACCTTCCTCTGGAGGCTCCGAACAGCTCGCCCGATCCTCATGTCCTCCACGACGGCGCGCCACCACACCGGCGCCCTCCCTTAAAGGAGCACCGAGTGGATCACGCCGCTGTAGAGGCGTCGCTTCTTCTCCCCCGGTCCTAAGTGCAGTTTTTTCCGCGACCTTATGCGGGTCTTTCCAGATTCTTTCAGGGCAAATTCCCAAAAACCTTATCTACCCATTTTCTGGGAGGCACTACCGGGCACTCCCAAGAACCGGCACGGTGGTTGGTCGGCTTCCGGCCCGCGTCTACACAAACCGGACACGCTGGTTTATCTGTGCATGTCTTGGCCAGGTGGCCCGGTTTCCCACATACGTAGCATAGGTCAGTCCTAGACTTTGTAGCAGGGCACATTGCAGCAACATGTCCTTGCGCCAGGCACCGGTGGCATCTGAGGGGCTGCTGCCTGAGTTCATACACCCTCACTTTTGTAAGTCCCACGTCTATTCTGCCCCTCTCCAGGGCCGCCCGGATGACAGGCACCGGAGCCGAGACAGTGGCCTCGCCTAATCTGCCCCTGCCAATCCTGATCTCTCCAACCTTAATCAGGTTGGGGTCTGTTCCGGATCGCATCTCCAGAAGCGCATTCCTGATGACGGTCCCGTCAGCGTACGCATCCAGTCCCACCAACCTAATGGTGCTCGTACGCAGGGGGCGAGTAATCTTCGCTTCTGGGACGGCACTCTTTAAGGCCTCCGCCACCCGGTCGGCCTTCTCATTTGCCCCTTTACCTCGTACCTGCCATATGAAGGCGCCCGTGAGGCCTCTTCTGCACCTCATGCTGTCGATCCCCAGCTCCTTTATATTAATTTTCTCCGTGGCCTGGAGGAGCGTTTCTTTGTACGCCGTCTCCTCGGTACAGAATAGGGAAATTTCAGCGACTTCTCTTTCCCTTTGTCTCCTCTCCCTTCTTCTCTGCGTCCCACTCTTCCTCTTCCCTCCCCTCAAGGAGACGTTGACTCCTTCCTGTTCCGCAGGGGATCGAGTGGACTCAGCACGGAGGGTGGGGCCTTTGTGTGGCCCATCAGCTCCAATCGTTGTCTGCTGCTGCATACTGCTGATAGTATTTTCCAGTATCCCCACCGACTCGACTAACTCCTGTATATCTATTGGGTCACTATCCGTTGTATGACGATCCGATGTTGAGATCAGTGCAGACGGTCCTCTGCAGGGACCAGGAGCTGCAGTACCCCGGGTCATTGTTTGGCTCCTCGCAGCCAAGGGGTTTAATGGTATTTTCCTATTTTCTTTCTTGCAATGGTCAATTTCTTCCGTCAACTCTCTAATGCTCACCTCCTTGGCCCTAATTTCTTTCTTTAGCTGCGCAATGGTTTCCTTGGTTGAAGGAGGATCATCTGCTTCAATATGAAGCCTCTCCCTTAGGATATCAATCATTTCCAGCATCTCATTATGGCAATGTTTCATCTTTCTTGAAGCTTCGTCCTCAGTTTTGATGAATCTTTTCCTCACGTTTTCGGCTCCTTGGATAACGTCCCTGATGTGTTTCAGCAGCCTGTCAGTATCCAAAACAGATTCTAGAGTCTTTGCCGGTCCTTGCTTATTCGACCCGTCCAAGTCTACCCTTAACTCCTCTTCCTCTGAGGAGTAGGTCGGGGACCTCGCACGTTTGTGCGTTCTCACCAGGACAGGTGACGTCGAGCTGTAGCGCTGCATGCTCTCAACGTCCTCCAAGTAGTAGCTATCTTCCCTTACTACCCTTCCCTTCCTTTCTACCCTTCCTGGCGCATTGGATACACCGCAGGCCAGGTCGCCTACCTGTGGTGCCCTTCCTGATGCAGTATCCAGAGCTGGGGCCAGGTTGCCTACCCCAAGCTCCTGGCAGTCGCTGGTTGACGACGGCGGGTGGCCTGCCCTACCACCACCTGACACCGCCGTGGCGTAGGTATCCCTCCCACGCCCGCTTATGACTGTAGATGTACTATCCATGATAAAATAAAGTATCAATATTATTGGGAGGCAAGCTCCCCAAAGGAAAGGAAAGGAACGGAAGGAAGTTAGAGAGAGAAAGAATAGAGAAAGAGATGAGAGAAGAACAAAGAAAGGAATAGCCGTACGAGAACATTCACACACCATTCACACAGTCCCTTTTAGTCGCCTCTTACGACAAGCAGGGAGTACTGTGGGAGTATTCTACTACCCCCTACCCACAGGGGAGATACGCCAACCAACCCTGATGGAACCCAGCACCGTCGCTGAAATAATATCGCATTAATAATAATTATTAACGTCGTTAAGTGTCCAAAGTGAGAAAAAAATGTTAAAACATCGTTTAAGTGAAAAGTGCAATGTATCAGGACTTGTTACTTTTTACCAATCGACCTAAAATTCTTCTTTATTATTTATTATTGATTCTTACGTTTTCCAATTCTCGGGTCGGGAACATAATGGGGCGCAATAATGGCCTCGGACGTTGTAATTATTACATCGATCGTTATCCTTCTCGAGTGGTATACTCACCCTTTTACGCCTGACTTTTCTTAATATTATCCGATTTAGAAGATCAACGAAAGCACACTCTCAGATTTCTTTGGAGATATGTGAATCGATGAAAATCTATATTTCTAGTATGGGGAGCACGCTATTCGCCTTTTCGCTCATAATGAAATTTCGACTAATTCCTTTCATCGATCTTCCCAATTCTCAAAGAGGAAGTTAATTAATCCAAAAGTTAAATAGATTATTCATTCATACGTCGAAGAAAATTAATTATTCGGGGAACTCGGTAAATGTAAGAAAAACGATAATAGTCGAGTAATTAGACGCGTTAATACTCGATCATTCGCGCAAATACGTATACGATGAAGTTATCGTCATATCGTAAGGTCAAAGTACGAGCAATCTTTGAGCGAACCGTATAATCAGGGCGACGTAGGGGTGGGAGAAAGAAAAAAGAATAGAACAAAAAAGTTCGTTCAAAATCGTTCGGAATCGTTCGGAATCGTTCGAAATCGTTCGAAATCGTCCGATCGAGAATCTGATAGATGTTGAATCATATTTTTGTTTTGCTTCTTTAAACACCCTCTCTACGATAAATATAAGATCACGTTGTTCCTCGAAGCAATTAGATCTCTCTCTAATCTCGAAGACAACTTTGATAACGACGCGTTGATTTCTTCTGTTCTTCGCCGTTGATTTCTTCATAAGCTAGCTATCTAGTAGTGCGTCGTTGACCATCGTGGCGGCCGCTCTTGCTGCCTCCGTTTGCGAGGTTTTCTTCTCTTTTCCTTTTCTTTTTCTCTGTCTCTCTCTCTCTCTCTCTCTCTCTCTCTCTCTCTCTCTCTCTCTCTCTCTCTCTCTCTCTCTCTCTGTCTTTCGTTCATTTATTCATCGACATCTTGTTTCTCCAATTTCACGTTTGCAATCGAAACTCATGACTCTCTAGTGTCATCGGAGAATCTTGGTGATCGATCAAATTGTCGAGAGAAGGAGAGGAAAAAGAAATCGTCGGCATGTATTTATCGATGTTGCTGGCGAGATCCAGCAGGCTCGGACAATGCGGAAGGAGATTTGCCTCGTCGTCGACGGGACTGAGATTACCGGATCAAACCGTACGTTCAAACATGTTAATTCGTTTTCAAAGATCTCTCTCTCTCTCTCTCTCTCTCTCTCTCTCTCTCTCTCTCTAAATCGAAACGCGTAGGACGCAATAATTTCTAGAATCGTTGATCCGAGTCGATTAGCGTAACGAAATTGACGTAGTTTTCGATGAACGCGGCCGACATGCGGATTCAGAAATTATCGGCTCATTGAAATTCGACGAACGGAAACGTCCGTCGTAATCGTCGTCGATCGTAGCTTGCGATCTCAGCAGAGTCGATTAAACGAAGATAACACATTCGCGTGCGTGTACGATATTTATGGAATTACGTAGAGGAACATTGGTGGATATATAATAGCTATTTGTTTTCATAAACATTTGCCGTATCGTTCTATGTTTGCCATGTCGAAACAAAACAAATAAGCAATTCTATTGCATTCTAATAAAGTGTTGCTTAATTGCAACGACAAATTTATTTCTTACGCAAGCCATTGAGTATCGATTGAAAGTCACGCCCTTGAAAAGTACGAAACTCTGTCAAATTGAGAAACGTTATAATAATATATTATCGGATCGGTAATTAAATCGGATCAGCTGTACGGAAACGATAAATCCATGTAACCTAGTCAATTACGTATTCTATAACTATAACTATGAGTTCTCTCGAGCGTATACCTTCTCTCTAGGAGACGTTTAAGTGATTTTCGAGTGAAAGCCTTCGCCGTAATTTACCCTATTGTTCTTCGAATCGTCCTTTCCACGTTGCTCTCGCAACCTTCCATCGTTTAACCTATGTATATGCAAATAAGTATACGCGACAACGCGTCATTTCGCCTTTCTACCTTCGACTCGACGACCATCCCCGGTAGATGATTTATGATATCGAAGGAAATTCGTTAGGAGCGTAATGGAATAAGCGCGATGGGGAAAGAAAATAAACAAATGAGATTAATATCATCAGGAATCGATCTCCTTTCCCTCCTACTCGCGTTCGTCTTCGCGTTCCGCTTATGATCGGACGTAAAATATTTTCGCAAAAATGGATCAAGCGTATCGAACGGATTCAGAGATAAGAACGACGCGTGAGATCGTTTTCCAAAGCACGTCCTTGCAAGTAGATGATTACATTGAAATTGCGAAATTCCTCGAGATTTACGTCGTTGCGATCGACGATCAGAAATAAAAGTAATAAAAAGATAAAAAGACGTAACCTCGCTCGTGTTCCTAACGCGATTACGATTTCACATACGCGAGCGATAAAAAAAGGAAGAAAAAAAAAAAAAAAGAAAAAAAAGAAAAGAAAAGGAATATTTAAAGAGATCACGTTGAGAAGAGACGAGGAAGGAGTTGTTATCTAAATTGCTCTCCGTCCGTCGCTGCTCCCGTCGATCTTTATCTTTAACAATCCCGAGTATAAGATAACATTAAATAATTTCAAACATAAAAAATTCCAAGGCGCGCTGTGCGGTATCGGGCGAGGATAAAAGTATGATTCTACTCGGTATGGAATAATCGTTTTCTCGACGATGATAAATCATACGAGATAAAATAAAAAGATAAGATTGGCAAATCGAAAGCTACCCCACCTGAAATGTCTAATTAGGCAATGGTACGGTTTTAAATATAAAAGAGAGAGAGAGAGAGAGAGACAAGTTCTTGAAACGACCAAGGAAAATGATAAGGAAGATTGATCTAGTTCAATGTCATTTGACGCTTTTCAAAGGGCAACCGAGTGGAGCTGCGAAGGGAGCTGCAAACTTCCGAAAGACCACGACGTGCGGCGACTTTCAACGATCGCAGCCAGCTGAAGTATGCTCGTAGATTGGTCGTCAAACTCGGAAGCGCGGTGATCACGAGAGAGGACGAGCACGGTCTGGCCCTTGGTCGTTTAGCCTCCATCGTCGAGCAAGTGGCCGAGTGCCAGAACGAAGGTCGAGAATGCATCATGGTGACTAGCGGAGCCGTTGCCTTCGGCAAGCAAAAACTCACGCAAGAGCTGCTCATGTCTTTGTCGATGCGAGAGACACTTAGCCCGGCAGACCATACGCGTGAACATGCCGGTAAGTATAGGCAGAGCATACCAGCGTACATTATTACTAGACTATTAGAGACGTCTAATAGATAATTATCGCGCGTCCTCTAACCAAACGTAACGATACGTAACGAACGAAGACGAATAAGGATAAAAAAGGAATCGATTCAGGATTTGCGTAAAAAATAAAATCAATCTCGTTAGTTTTACGCGAAGCGTAAAGTAAAATGCCAATCCTCTCGCCGCGAATGTCCTGTCGATAGAAAGATTTGCTCGTAATCGAGAAAGGATAAAACGTCCGGGGAAAATTAATTTAAATCGTTCGCGGACCAACTTTGCATTTCTCTCTATCCCCTTTCAAAAAGGGGGAATCTAAAAGTGGAACTGCTAGATTAGACTTAAAGTCGCGAAAATACAAACCGACGAAACACGAAATCATTTTTCCCGTTATTAGTTAACTGCAAATTGAAACAGGTGATACGCCGCAGCACTATTTAATACGAATCTCGATTTTCCGCTGCTCTTCGTATCCTTCCTTCGTAGAACGAGCTAACGAGTTTTGAAGATGAGAGAGAGAGAGAGAGAGAGAGAGAGAAACTCCCACGACGTTTCTCTACGTCTCTCTACGTTTACACGTTACCCATCCTCTAAGCTTCTCCGTAATCCTACCGTGAATATTTCCGTTATTGCACTTATGCAAAACGCAAGAGAATGTATTCTTTTGTCAAAAGAATTACCAACCACGACGTTATTCGACGATCCGGTAGATGAAAAGTGCGTTCGATGAATAACCTCACGACCGAAAAGCCAAACTCAAAATACTCTCCCAAGAACAAAGTTGAAAGAAAATGTAAACAAAGGAAACGGCCGGAGACGCTACTTGATATATTATGAAAGAGGGAAAAAAGAAAAACGAGATATAATATCTCGTAGGATAGAATCTTGGGATTACATCGGATAGATGGCTAAAATAAAAATTGCCGTTACAGTCGAGTCGTATAAATTTTGACCAACGAGGAACGACGTTGATAAAACTTTATCGGCGATGGCTGCTCCCACGGGAAGAAAAGAATAAATTTCCAACGGCGAGTGAGAATGCAAGCGCGAAACTACATACGCAAGAGCCTAAGAATTATCTACGTACTACGCGAACCAAAGAAAATTTTATAATCTTCGCGGTCGCAAGCGCGTCGCATTTTCGCGACTTTCCATTTATTTCCGCTTAACGCATACGCGCGCCAAGTACCTCTAGGTGTGTCTATGATAAAAGTTAAAACAAAATAAAATCTCTGATATACATATATGTGGATATGAAAAGATTCAGATCAAATGCGAAAACGGAAACGGATATAACGATCCTCGTAGATCCTTTCTGAAAGCGAAAATCGAGTCCCTATCGAATCGTACGATAACGTAAACGGTACGAATTTCTCTTCCTAGATATAACAAGCCACGCGTCGTCAAACTATCTTATCGTCGGCGGTTACGGTGTTATTCCTTTCCTAGATATTAAATTAGCTGTCCGACAAACTCAAAGTCCGCGGAGAATTATTTCACACCTGAGAACTCCATTAAAAGCGAGAGGAAATTACCCTATTATATCCGTTTCCAATTACCAATTTCAACTTACCAATGACAACTCCTTATCGTAATAATTCGACCGAGTTAAGAGGTAAATAAATAAGACGGAGGATACGGTAGAAGTTAAATTTTTTTATATCACGTGAAAAAGAAACCAATACGCTTTTCTTTCCTTAAAAAAGTTTCGAATCGTAAATCGATATACCCTCTTCTCGATATTTTCCAAAGTAACTCTCCGAGTCGGTGCTTCTATAAGAATTTTCCACGAATTCCCTGATGGAATTAAGAGGAGGAATGAGAGATTAATCAAAGCATCAAAGAGAGGAAAAGGATTCTTTTCTCTCTTTCTCGTTGAGGAAACAAACTTTTCGATCGAATCCAATGAGAGTTTAGCGAAGGAACTTTCCACTTTGTTTTTCTCTTATTCCCACTTGGACTTGCCCGCTTTCCTTGGGAACGTGCTTAATTGCCAACTCTGATCGTAAATAAAGATCATAAAGAAGACCTGTCTAGATTTTCCGTATTAGAGGATCAGAGAGAGAGTGAGAGAGAGAGAGAGAGAGAGAGAGAGAGAGAGAGAGAGAGAGAGAGAGAGAGAGAGAGAGAGAGAGCTGTCGAAAATGAGGCCGAAACGAACGAGGTTCTCTCGATCTTTCCTATTATTGTCGTTGTCGGGGCACGTTCGCTATGGCATTAGATAATAAAAACGTAAATTCTCGTAAATTCTCATGTTAACTATAATCGCTCAATGTCCTAGGAACACTTTTGGAACCTAGAGCGGCAGCGGCCGTGGGCCAGTCCGGGCTTATGTCTCTCTACGATGCCATGTTCGCTCAATACGGCGTGAAGCTGGCACAGGTGTTGGTAACGAAGCCTGACTTTTACAACGAGGAGACCAGAAAAAACCTGTTTAGCACGTTGAGCGAATTGATCAGTCTGAACATAGTGCCAATCATCAATACCAACGATGCGGTCTCGCCACCGCCTCACGTTGACGAGGAAGTAGCTGGCGGAGGTGGAAGAAGAGGAATATCCATAAAGGACAACGACTCTTTGGCTGCGATGTTGGCGGCAGAGGTTCAGGCCGATCTACTCATTTTGATGAGCGACGTCGATGGTATATACAATCTTCCCCCGTGGCAGGATGGCGCCAAGATGTTGCATACCTTTAGTTCGGACTTGAGGGGTACGATAAAGTTTGGACAAAAGTCTAAAGTCGGTACAGGTGGTATGGATTCGAAAGTAAACGCTGCTCTATGGGCTCTGGACCGTGGGGTCTCGGTCGTTATTTGCAATGGCACTCAAGAGAAGGCAATCAAGAGCATCATGTCGGGTAGGAAGATCGGCACGTTCTTCACGGAGACCACCGGCTCCTCGATGCCCGTCGAGGTTGTCGCCGAGAATGGTAAGCGTCCAGCGTCCATTTCTTATTATTAACTCAATGACCGATTTGATTCCTCGTAAATTGATTAATCCCTCGCACAGCACGCGTTGCCAGTAGAACGTTGCAAGCACTCCGACCGGACGAACGAGCTAGCTGCATCAACGTTCTGGCTGATTTATTGGAGACCCGACAAAAAGAGATCCTAGAGGCAAACGGTAAGGATCTTGAGGCTGCGAGCAAGACCGGTCTTGCGAAACCTTTGCTCTCGCGATTATCCCTTTCCTCCGCTAAATTGAAATCTTTGAGCGCGGGTCTACGGCAAATAGCGGAAGACTCTTTGGAGAACGTTGGTCGTATCTTGAGAAGGACCAAATTGGCCGAAGGATTGGAACTTAAACAGATAACCGTGCCGATCGGCGTCCTTCTCGTTATATTCGAATCGAGACCCGACAGCTTGCCGCAGGTAGCAGCACTTGCTATATCCAGTGCCAACGGACTCCTCCTGAAGGGCGGAAAAGAAGCTACCAACAGTAACAAGTATCTGATGGAATTGGTGAAGGAAGCGCTCGGTACGGTGGGTGCCTCCAACGCGATATCTCTCGTATCGACGAGAGAGGACGTAAGCGACCTATTGTCGATGGAAAAGCACATCGACCTTATTATTCCACGCGGTAGTTCTGATCTCGTACGTACCATCCAAGAACAGTCGAAGCATATACCGGTACTCGGTCATGCCGAGGGTATCTGTCACGTTTACGTCGATAAACAGGCCGATCTGGATAAGGCCCTCAAAATTGTGAGAGACTCGAAGTGCGATTATCCGGCAGCTTGCAACGCCATGGAAACGTTGCTAATCCACGAGAGCCACATGAACGGGTCCTTCTTTACGGACGTTTGTAACATGCTGCAAAAGGAGGGCGTGAGTAATATACATATATATATATATTATATAAATATATATATATATATATATATATATATATATATATATATTTATATATATACACATAGGCCGCATTATACAGACCGCTTTAATCTCATTTACGCTAATAAAGAATCTTCATCCGTAACGTCCAGGTGAAGATCTACTCGGGGCCAAAACTGAGGGAGTTATTGACGTTCGGACCGCCTGCCGCGAAGAGTATGAGAACCGAGTACGGTTCCCTCGAGTGTACGATCGAGGTCGTCTCCGATATCGAAGATGCTATAACTCATATCTACAAGTACGGGAGCGCGCATACGGACGTCATCGTTACGGAGAATAACGAGAGGGCGGTTCACTTTCAAAGAGAGGTCGACAGCGCTTGCGTATTTCATAACGCGAGCACCAGATTCTCCGATGGTTATAGATTTGGCCTTGGTGCTGAGGTAAGAGCCGAAATTTGTGAGATAATTCTCAAAGGGAAGGAATTTTACTCGAACGAAATCTTTCCTTTTTAAGGTTGGCATTTCAACGGCTCGAATTCACGCGCGTGGCCCGGTAGGAGTAGACGGTCTCTTGACAACGAAATGGATTTTGCACGGAGACGGACACGCTGCTGCGGACTTTGCCGAAGGCGGCGACAAGACTTGGTTGCATCAATCGTTGCCTTTGAACGAGTATAAATAAATCGAGTACGACGGAGTACGACGAAGTACGAAGCTCGAGCGTAAACATTGTCAATTATTTTAAAACGATACGCGATCGATAAAAACAATCATTATTTACTATCGTCCGTTGTAAAACACCGCCATCTAAGACACCGTTCGATTTTCGTACTTTACGTTTCTAGGTCTGCGAGGCGAAAGAAAAATCCGTGGGAAGAATTTCTATTAGAGGAAGGCTACGATAAGGATTTTTCCGGAACGACCGGTAACGACGAGTGCTTAAACTATAATCTCTTTCTTTCTCTCCCCCGCTCCCTCCTCCCCACCCTCCCCCCCTCTCTCTCCTCTGTATATAATGTAAATAAAATTATGGCTAATTAAGCTAATTATTACAAATGAAATGAGACGCGAGCAATTGCACAAAGAGTCAACCGTGGCCAAGTTAGTCAACTAAACTTGACGTTAATTCGACGATTCCGAGCAGTTATTTCCCCCCCCCCCTCCTCCTCCTCCTCCTCCTCCTCCTCCTCCTCCCTGTTGCAATGAAAAAGTTTGGTCGCAAAAAGTTCGTTAATAACGCAACGATATCGAGGGTTAAAAATTTTCAACGATTTTCGCCGACTCTATCGCTCGCTCGAGTAGAAAGAGAGTTGCTTCTTCCAAATTCTTCTATATTCTTACTCGTTTTCCTTCGTCAGTTTTCTTACGTCGAGACTCTGCTCGGTCTTATTCCCTTTTCAAATATTCGACAATTACGCCGCGAAATATATGGATGTACGTATCTTATGCGTTAAGAAAAACGTTTCGACGATAATCATTCGTTTACTCGTTAAAAGTATCGACTGATAATGCAACTGCGATATATTATGTAAATAGATGATTCGCCTTGAATATCTCGAACAGCTTTCACGCGTATAAGTAAATATTTACATAAATTGGCTTTTATCGGGGATGACGTTAAGACGGTCATTCAATGATGTGCCATAACGATGGTACAGGGTCCAATACGTTGCACTCCTAGATATAGTGGCAGAATACATTTTCTACGTCGGACGACATTCGAGATCGAAAGTGTTTTATCAAAGTCTATTCCTTTATCTCGTATCGAGTAAAAACGGAATGTTCCGTCGAGCGTCTATTAGCAAGATTTTCTTTTAAGAATTTCTTTTAAAAAAGAACACGATCCACTCGCCGAGTAAATATAATTTCGACGCGACGAATTGACAAGAGCTGATGCGCGCGTAAAGACACTTTTATTACTTACATATATCGACACAATACAAATAATTATTTCTTTCTTTCTTTTGGTTTTTGCCCGGTACTCCATAGCAGATGTCTTAAATATTCTCGGGTGCCCATAATTTAAATGTTCTGTCGTACGAGCTAGTCGCGATGAATTTGTGATCAGGAGATACATCGACGGACATAACCTTGCCGTCGTGCCCTGGCAAGGTTTTTAACGGTTGCCAGGTCTTATTAGACCAAATCTTGGCCGTGTTATCGTACGAGGACGTAACCAGATACTGTCCTTCTCCTCTCTGATATTTTACGTCCGATAACAAATTCGTATGAGCAGGTATCGTGTATATGCAAGACCTTTTCCGTAAATCCCAGATCTTGCATGTGTTATCCTCGCTCGCTGTTGCTATGTGATAACCATTCGGTGAAAAATCGATGCCCAAGATAGATTTTAAATGCCCTTCCATGAACATGATGCATCTACCCGTTCGTAAATCCCAAACTCTACCGAAAGAATCATGTCCCCCGGTAGCATTTACGCTGCCGTCCCACTGAAAGCTATTACATATGATAGATTACTATGCGCTCCGTTATATCGTAAACAACTCGTACTCGCGAATACGAGTGAGATCGATTAAATCGCTCAAAAGAGAAATAGAAGAGAGAAAAAACAAAAAATGAAGATAATAATAAAAGGAGAGAGAGAGAGAGAGAGAGAGAGAAGAAAAGAAAATAAATTTTCACTACCTCATGCAGTGTACGGCTCTGGCATGACCCTCTTGATGCAAAACTTCTGCCTGTTGTTCCAAATCCCATAACCGCCAGGAGGCATCGTAACAACAGGTTCCAAGAAATCTCCCGGATGGATGAAAGGCTATCCTCGAAACTCTATGAGGTTCGTGCCCTTCGACTTCTGCTAAAGGTTCCTCCCCTTTACCACCGGACCATAATTTGACCGTACCTGTAAGAACGATAACTCGTAAAAAGCTCGTAAAAAGGTTCCTCCAAATATCTACTACCCTACGAGATCCTAAAGATTCGTCAAGCGTACCGTCCGAAGCGCAAGATGCCAATACGCACGTCTGTCCTGCGCCATCCCCTAAAACCTCTTCGGAAAGCGAGACATTTGGATGAAAAACGATGCAGCTAACGTTATAGGTGTGTCCCTGGAGTGTTCGTAAGAGAGTACAGTCCGGTACCGACCATAGTTTGCATAAGCCAGACCACGAGGCTGTAGCAAGAATCTTCGAATTTGGACTAAACTGACAAAACGATATCGGTCTTGTGTCACCAATTTGCGAACAATATATAGATAGAGCTTGTAGCTTCTTTAAAAGTTCTTGTCTACGCGCTGTACGCGTAGCACCTGGCAATTCAAAATCCTGTCTTGCTTTTTCCAACCTAATTTTTGCCCTGGCCAAAGAAAATGCTGTAAACAAACTTATCAATGAACATATGCCTATGTTTTTTTGAAAAGAAAAGGAAAAGACATGTGTGTGTGTATATATATATATATATATATACCACGCACGTACACGCACAAATAATAACGTCGAAAAGTACAAATTACTTGCTATCCAATAACGAGCTATTTGTAGAGATTCCGGTCCTTCATGATACCAAGTAGATTCGGTGTCTCTTTCGACCGTGTGAGCAGGTTTCTCTTCCTCTTCGTGTTTCTTCTTTATCGCGTCTTCCCCAAGACTAGCCAGTAACTCTCTTAATCTCGTTCGTCTATCAGCAGGGCCTTCGCCGAACAAACATATGGGCTCGCCCAACTGTCTTAAATTCTTTTTTACCTCCGAATCGTCCGTGGATACATTGATCTGTCTAGCTTTCTTTCTACGTTCAAACTCTTCCAACAACGCTTGCCTATCTTTAGACATTTCATCTTCCAATTCCATATATTCATTGGAGATGTGTATATTACCGGCCAAGGTGGATACGTTGACAGCATCATTAGAATTAGCAGCTTCCTTTTCTTCTTCCGAACATTCTGCCGCTGCGGCAAGACGGGTACGTTCTGCTTCTTCGAGGGATCCATAATGTACAATTTTTTGTTTCTTCACGTACACCAAATCTTCGTCGTCCGACATTATAGAAAACTATTAACGAATCAATCGATTATACATTTTTCTCTTTCGAAGAATTCAATAGAAATGGTTAAACGCGCGATAGACTTTATAATCCTAACCTCCAAAATGAGCAACTCGATAAAATATCTTACCTTAACGCTTAATATCTACAGTCTTGAGTTTTGAATTTACGCTTGTAATTAATCTTTTTGCATCTGCGATAATATCCTTTAAACCCAAAGATACGCTTTTATATTTGCAATTAATATTGAAATAATATTTGTGTTCGTAACATTGAGATTTTAAACGTGTATGAAGCCGCCAGATAAATACGTTAAGCACACTGCAGCCAAATACGCAACGAAATAATCACTAGCTAATGAGAAAAAGGGATGGCCTCGTATATCTCGTTTTTTCTATTTAGAAATAATTCTTATTTCTTATCGTCTCTTTAAGTAAAACTAAAAGGTAAAGAGCTTCTTCATTATCCCATGTCTTTTTATTGTACCTCCGTGATTTCTTCCAATAATCCCTATGCTAGTTTGCAAGTAACAAATTCGTGGAATTTATCGTGATAATCACTTTGCGGAACATTTCACGTCGACAAGAAGAAAGGTAAAGGAGAAAAAATAGAAACGATAAAGAAGAGAATTCAAATGTTTTAAAGAATAATTGAAAATATTGATGACATAAATGTAGCCAATTATTAGCTGCGGACGCATTACTCGTGTCGCGTTTACAATTGAATTTACGAATACGTCCCATACGTAATATCGATTGGCCAGGTCTCATGGCATGGATATGCTTGTTGCATATGGAGATTCTATCGAATGAAGATGATTCGTTAAACGAAGTAACGATAAGTGTGATTGACACGAGCAAATAGACCGACACAAACTAACTCGTTCGCACGTAACGAGTCGAGTCTAGATTGTTTACGTTCTCGTCTCTCTCTCTCTCTCTCTCTCTCTCTCTCTCTCTGCCCCCACCGCCCCCTGTGTTTATGCATTCTTATTTATGTACGTGCGCGTATAAGAAAACTAATTCTTTCAACAAAGTTCCGTTATAATCGTCTAGATTTTTAGATCGATTTAATTAAACTAAAGAGGTAAAACATACGTATATTATATGCGTATGCACGTTTGGACGCATATATTCGTATAACGACGCAAGTAGTTTTTCCATTGAACACTACGCGATGTTAGCGTCTTGTGCATTTCAGCCAAAGTTCGGCCTAGCGAATCGTCGATCGACGAGAGGAGAACGTCCGAGGGCTTTACTTCTTTAACTCTCTCGTTGACGATGATTTCACGAGCAACGGAGAAGAAACGTGCAAGAGAGAAAGTTCCGAGTCGAATGTGAAGAGATAATAATAATATAAAAAGGGACGATCTCGAGCGATTCGCCTTTTTGCTGCCTTTCGAAGGATATTCACAACGTAACCGTTCCTACGTGATATTATATATACAAATATATATATTATCGTATCATCGTCGACTTTTCGAGCGGGAAAAATCGAATTTTTCAACTGGGATGGCGGACTTTGATGCGATTTACGAAGAGGAAGAGGAGAACGAACAAAATTTGGAGGAGCATTATGTGACGATGGTGCCTGACCCTATAATTATTCGTGGCGCTGGAAATATGACAGTGTAGGTCTTGTCATCCATCGTACGTGCATATGCGCACTTTCTTTCGAACAAAGAGGCGCGCGTGGACGTTTATTTATTTATCGAACGTCGAGTAACATTGTAAAACTTTGTTAAATAGGTTTGGGCTTAGCAATCGTTTCGAGTCAGAGTTTCCCAGTGGCCTGGTATCGAGAGTAGCGCCGGAGGAATTCAAGGCAACTGTTATGAGAATAAACAGTGTATTGAAAAAGACATTACCGGTTAACGTTAAATGGTTATTCTGCGGTTGTGTATGCTGCTGCTGTACCTTGGGATGCTCTTTGTGGCCGGTTATTTGTCTGAGTAAAAGGGTAAATCTTTCTTTCGTCGTATAATTGTTCCAGAAAAGTATTTCCGTTCGTACCGTATTCCAGATAATTCTTTCTATGTTTTAACAGACGCAACATTTGCTTAATAAATTGTTGGAATGGGAGAACGGTAGACTGTATCATAAACTTGGATTACATTGGCGATTAACTAAACAAAGATGCGATAGCTCCTCCATGATGGAATACGTAAGTTAAAGTTTTAACAAATGGATAACGCGCGTGGATATTGGAAATTAATTGAAATAATCTTGTCATTTCCTTTTTCCAGGTACTTTTAATCGAATTTATTCCAAAAATACCAATCTATAGACCGGATTAAAAATTTGAACATAAGTAACAATTATGACTCGTACAATCGACGAGGATAGGATATGTGTGTGTGGGTGCGTGCGTGCGTGTATGTGTATAACAAAGGCACTCGAGTAGCCAGATTCGTTATATGTAATTTTATAGAGCGGAGAAAGGCAGTAGGTATCGCAGTAATGCCATAGATGTTTGGTGGAATGCATATTTTTGTAAATATTACGCGTAGGAGGCAATACACGGTAAAATGATAAGATAGGTATACGGAAATAGCAGATAGTCGTCGATTAACGGCGCGATGTTGCATCGTCGATGGTGCGATATATAGAGAAGATGCACGAGTTAAACGTATTCCAACGTATTTGATGTTACTTGATTTCGTCATTGACGAAAAATGTAGCGTAAATTGAGATCCGTCTGTGCGTTTTATTACCATTGATAGATATCTTAGAGTACGATCGAAATACGAGCCATTTACACTCCCATCTTTCATAATAATATGAAAGAATCATGTTGTTGATATCTATCCATTGACGAATCGACGAGAAGAGATGATAAGGTATTTTTCGTTTATGCAAAAATATGTTCACCGATCCTTCTTCGTATAAGCACTACTATCGCGGGTATAATGCGTAAGCGTTTATTATTATTATTATTATTATTATTATTATTATTATTATTATTTCAAATTTTTTATCTACTCTTACTTACTTGATATTGTTTTGATATCGAGGACCTATCGGCTAATAATTAGTATTTGAATTCTCAGGTAAGAAATTAATCTCAATCAGTACAACGAACATATTAAATTTTAGGAAAAAATAATGTAAAAAGTGAAAATGACTCTATAGACAATTTTGTGTAATTGCAAAATGTATCGGATTAAGCGTAACTTGTACATATGACTGTGTATACGTATAGATTTACATTACGTATGGGTTTAATTTCTTACCACGGTGATATATGAGAAATTACGCTATCTATGTACAGCTTAAAAATTAATTTCAAATGCAATTTTAACGAACTATTACAAAATGAATTTTCTTATAGTATAGAAAATTGATATGCTTATGCGCTTAACTTGGTATTGCTTACCATCGAAAATGTGAAAAATGTTGATTAATTAACGATAAGGACAGTCATTTACAATTGACGTTGGCACAAAGCTTTAGAAGAATAAATATTGATCGTTTCTTCTTCGTATTACTGTCGTAATCAACAACGTTGTCATCCTAAACAATATCGATAGACTCCACTTCTGTGAATAGGAGCGATGTACCCGGGCGTGTATATCCCTCTCTCAGGTTTTATTTCTTTTCTTTTCTTTTCTTTTCTTTTTTTTTCTTTTTTTTTTTTTTGCTTTTTTCCTTTTTTCTTCTTTTCTTTTTTGCTTCTTTTTCTCTCTCTCTCTCTCTCCCATCAAAAGCGACGATTACAACGCAATTAGTTTTGCTATAGAAATAATGACAGAATACAAAGTGAAACTTGTAATTCGTACACATAATAGATACCTTTGTTGCTAATTCAGTGGCTGTGAATGAAAAAGAAAGAAAAAAAGAATATTTTTCCAATTGTAATGTACACTTTAAATATACGCATTTACCAACAATTTCATGACACACTTGTATGAAATGAATAATGCTAATTGTCAAATGCTAGTCACAATTTTCTGCATTGGATAACTAACTATTTTTTTGAAATTTGTATTTAATATCACGATACAATAAAGGTTCGATAAGAGTCCGATATTTAGAGGGTTTCTTATATGCAGGTTTCAATTGTCGCCTTGTGTTGGTGCATCTACGTACAGGTAGACGCGCGCGCGAGCACGCGTTGCACGATCGATAAAAACCCACGCATACTTCCGCTCCTATGACAATCCTATCCCAGCCGATCCCATCCGTCTGCTCGCGATGGAACTTTGTAATATATCCATATACACGTGTGTGGTACACCCGTCTGTGTCATACATGCTGGTATCTGCATTAAAATGATATTTACCAAGAATAATTCGATGTTATGATAATTGACGACAGGTGCCTTTGCAGCTTCTAATAACAGGAGATCATCACAGTACGTTATAGCGTTACAAAGTGTCCGATGGAGGATGTGCGATCGTGCACATACGAAATCTAATATTTTTTTTTGACTATTGTATAAGAACTTTTTCATTTAAAATGTTTTATCATTATTTTTACCATCTAATTATTAGTCGTTCGTAATAAAAGTTGATTGTAAATACGTTTACCTTGGTCTCTATTTATCTTAAAATATATTTCATGCTCATCTTGAACTTGAAACTTGATAAAATATTGCTTTTAACGATGCTCGTGCCATTGGAATCGGCTCTAACTTATGATTCTTCCAATATATATTCTTCTTTCAGGTAAGAATTAATAACATTTCCCTAAAGCTATTTTGATTTCTTTAAAGGAAGAAAATTATATCCCATATATTGTATCCTATTTGACAAATGTCCCGTGTATAAAAGACAATGTTGTTTTAGGAGCTACGACGAATGTCCCTTGAACATAACTGTTTTGGACTTTTTATACAATTTCACTGTGCCTGATTTGGAAATAACATGGCCATGCGAAGCACGCTTTTATTGGTTGTCGTTGCAACCATTTGTTAAATTTGTAAGATTTTTACTCAGCTATGGGACTCCATTTATTATAATCGTTGGTAAGAAGGTAGCAAATTATAATTGACATAATATAAAGGATAAACCATCGTCTAACGTCGTAAAAGTTATATTACATTGTACAGGCATTATATTAAATACCATATCCTTTGCAATATTGAATACGCCAGTGTCGTCCGACTCGAGCTTATCGTTATATCTAAAGGTCCTTGCTATATCCGACAATGGTGCATTAATATTTAATTATGCAGTAGGTATAGCGAAATCACATTTTACATTTGTCAATGATCTTTTTATGGTAAGTGAAAAAAAATTGCACGTTATATAGATGCGTCCGCCCATATATATATATATATATATATATATATATATATATATATATATATATATATATATTCGCCCATAGAAGAAAGTCATCATGTCATTTTCTTAATACGTACGACTTATATCCACAGAACAGTCAATTTCTCTGCGACACAAATTCCATAACAATGGAACTTTTTCAATTTACGTCTACTTGGTTGGTTGTATCGCTCACATGGGCTCGCGTCATAGCAATTATTTTCCCATTTGGGGCACATAATAGTAATCCTGAACGTTCCGCGATTATAAGTATTACTACTCTGGCATGTGTCAGCTTTGTAATATCGTTAACAAAGTTATATTCTGGAGGTAATAAGATTAACGATGCTTTAGCAATGGATTATAGATTTCAACGGGTTGACGAATGAAAATTCATGTCTTCCAAATAAAAATAATTCTAGGATATGAAACGGACAGTGTTTTTGAATTTATACCATGTCAAAAGAAAATCAAACCCTGGGGTAGCGCTATGTATTTTTATATAGCATTGTCAACATGGTTACCATTAATTTTTATATTTATTGGCAATGCGTTGCTAGTTGCACATATGAAAAAATTGGATACACTTCGCAGACAATTAACCCGTAAGTAAGAAATTATACGTATTAATAACGTTAAGAAATTTTCTCAACTCCTCAATCAACGATTAAACGCAAGATACTTCCTTAGGCAGTTTCTCTCAAAAGATCAATAAAACGAATAAAACGAGCAGAACTTTACTGGCAGTCTCAATGGTATATTTAATTTTGCTATTACCACTTGGAATAGTTGAAACTTTAGAGCTCTACTGGGACGTGATATTGATCAAATATCCAGAAAGGGATATGAATGAAAACAAAGATTATATAAATTGGTAAGAGAATGTCGGTCTAAAAAAACTATAAATTATATACGTAATGTGCGCACATATTTTCCTAATGTTTTAGGTTAGAAGAGAAAATGTTGTTAAAGTGGTGTCGTGGACTATTCTTTCACATATATCATTGGAATTTTGCAAGTAATTTCTTTTTATATTGTCTTACGGGGGAAAAGTTTCGAGGGGTTTTGATAGAAAAATTAAAGAATTGCAAAGTCACATTAACTTCGAAAATATCGCCAAAGTGTCTTCGGTGGTGCAAGTGCGACGATCGATTAAAATCGATACGAACTCCGAGTATATTACTTATCAAAGTTGTCACGTTCGATGAATCTTCCATTATTGACAACATTACTGGCCAACATAATAATAATGACGTAGCATCGATCACCTGATCTTGACAAGTCGAATTGAAATTTTTCTAGTTCAACGATCAAAAACTGCCATAACTGAGAACTGAAGATAATTATTTCAATGATTAGCTACAAATCCAATGTGTTCTATTTAGATTAATAGTCATATGTAATACAAGATACAAGTGATTATTTCACGATATGGACAATTTATTTTCATTATTATTTTATTTTTACATGAGAAATTTCTATACGAATGTAGTAAAATATCACAATATATGTCGTCATCATTTAATTTTTAACATCGAATTATGGATTATGTTGAAGATACGTTAATTTTACATTATCATCCTAGCAGATATTCCTAACCTTTTTTTGTAGTAACTAATTCGGCAAAGAAAATTTCTGGTCCCGACGTAGATTCCTAAACTGGATACGTTCTTCCTTTCTTTTTTTCTCTTTTTACATTGGAGCTACTACGAAAAAAAAAAAAAAAAAAAAAGAAAAAAAAAGAGAGAAAAAAGAAAGAAAGAAAATGGCAATTTCGTATCCGTTAGATCATAACTTGATAATTTAATACCTGATGATTTTAATTAATATTTTCACATCGTTTAATTATATTAACATTATATACCGTTGTTATTTACTATATAGTTGATTACAATTAATTACTTGCAGAATATTATTCTTCCTGTTTTATATACTGAAATAAATAAAACATGAAATTCCTAAAGACTATGTATTCTACTCGTATATACCTAACTGGTATCACTCTTTGTCTGGTAACTGAAGTAAAACAAATTTCATAAATTCAATTATATCATACAGTATGAGAGATAACATAGAAAGTGTATATCTCATTACCAACAAAATAGACATATATAATATTTCAATAGCATTTCATTTACTTTTATGAAAATATCCAGAACTTGTAGAAATCACGTAACAAAAAACTCATAAACTCAAGAAGCTTTTCAACCGTACATAAATAGTAACAATTTTGACATTCTACGGGCACGCACGCACGCACGCACACAAGCACACACGAAAATGAAAAAGTACAACTTTTCTAACCATTCTAATTTATATACCAAATGTTCCATACAAGAGATGCGCGTGCATGCACGCACGCACACACACACACACACACACATACCCACCCACCCACACACATATATACATGATGCTACTCGAATCAATTACCAAAGTAATAATCTGATTGATCAAATAAAATTTAAATATTATTTTACACATAATATTCGTAAACAGAGGCGGTGTACCAAAATTAGTATTAAAAATCAGCTCGACGCAATAACTTGGATGGTACTGATAAAAATACTCGATAAAGCTGTATAATGTTGAAATTGTTAAGTATTATAACAATATTCACAAACGAATGGAACTTATATTAGATTCTCTTAAGACTATAATGAGTTTTGCTAAATACAAGAAGTAATAATAACATTATACTTTTTTATACTTTATGGAAAATAATTTATAACAAAATATATTACAACGCTATGCAGTTGGTAGTTTTTAACTTTTGACCGCAAAGCATATAAATAATAGAACCTATCTCTTTTCATTCGATTGTATAAATACGAATTGTGATAAAAACGAGGGGGGAAAAAAACGAAAAAAAAGAGAAAAACAATTACAATTTGATACATATTGCAAACATTCGCGCGAATCTAAAGATATTATTAGAAATATTCTCCAATACACTTTTGATTAATATATTACAAAATAGAAAGGTATTTTTCATTGTAATGCTAAAATTGACCTTCCAAGAAATAAATTTACTTAGAAAATATGCTCTTGATGTAAGGCAATAGTCGCTTGAAATATTTTCTCATTATTATTCGTTTAATGGATGTTGCGTATACTTCAGTCTTCTTTTACGCGAGTAAAATTTTATAAAAATTTACCTTCTTTTGCCATATAGATTTGTTGTAAATTTTGTATTAAAACGATATGTATTAAACTTATCGACGCCTAAATTGCTATCCGTTTAAAATACCAAGAAAAAAAAAAAAAAAAAAAAAAAAAAAAGAAAAAAAAATGTTTGCAATATCAAAGGATTTATTATATCCTAAGGGCCAAAATCTCTCGTAAAACGCGATGTGATTACGTTGAACGTGAAATACTGTATGGAACTCTATTCACATAATTAGTTGGAAACTGACCTTTTATACCTTTGTATTCGCCGTATAACCAGTCGTCCGATAGTCTCGACAAAACTTTAATTTTGGCTCCTTCCTTTGATAAGTATAATCAATATTTGTATAACGCACATATGCGTAGAAAAAAATTTATATATATATATATATAAAAATTTATATATATATATGTATGTATGAAGCATGTTATTTTTGACAACTCACCTCAAACGTTAGATCCTCTGGGGTCTCCCCTTTAAAAGGATAGAGGGCAACGACGGTGTTGTCCTGCAATCCAGGCAATGGAATCTTTATATCTAGAAAATTAATTGGAAATATTCCTTGTCGACTTCCCACCCTTCCTTCCATCCAATCGTCATTGACAACTCTTATCAAGGTGACAACGTCACCCTCCTTCAAGGGTAAATCGTCCGAATGCGTCACCGGAAAATCATAAAGCGCAATACCATAGGGCGTTTTAGAGCTTTCCTAAAAATAAATGATTTTCCTTTATTTTAAAAAGAAAAATATTAATATAACAGTAAGATATAATGCGAATTGAAAGGATATAGCTATCGCAGGTATAGATATCCATTGTATAATACCTCGAATTCGTTTTTCGATTGGACAAAATATTCCGAGGGTGGTGCCGGTGGTGGGATCGTTGGCATCGGAGGTGAAGGCTCGTCTTTAATGTCATCGGCCCATGCGTCGTTAACAGAATAGGACGAGTTAACGGGTATCGATTCGCTGAGAGATCTTTCTACACTAGTCGACGGTCTTTGATTTGTCTTTTGGTCCAAATGTTTTTTCAATATCTTTGGCGCCGGTGGTTTCGGCGGTTTCGGTCGTATTATCGTAGGTACGGAATGAATCACTTTAGAACTGGTTTGTCCAAAAGGCACTTGCTTCTTCCCCGTAGGACTGTCATTAAAGGCAAAAAAGGAGGTATCTCCTATTTGCCTAACGTCCTCAAGCGGCCTATTAATTTCCTCTATCGGACCAAATGGATCCGACATCGGCTTCATTTGCCACGGATCGTTGTTTGTAAATCTTTTATTGGACATGCCGAAAAAGTCAAAGTCGTCTTCGAAGGCACTTTCCGTCTGGGACGTATTACCGCTGCTCGTAAATACGGAAGGATTGGAATTACCATCGCTACCAAAACTGTCTATGCTAACCCCGTCGCTGCTAGAACGAGTGGTGAACGTCGGAGAACCAGGCGGACTGAGATCTATCAGGGAGAAAGTTCCGTTCGTATTAGAAGACTGCGACTGGACGTGGGATAGATTTGAAGTAGAACGAGACGTATTGGAGTGTTCCTGCTTGGCCGCTTTCCATGCAAAGAAATTGGTCAGAAGCTCGGTCGGACGGGTCTAGGAGAAAAAAGAAATATAAACGAGGATGAAATGAAGTGTAAATGAATTGAAAAGAAAAACAAGGTCGTCTTACGGGTCTCTTGGACTTTTGATCCCTCTGACTATGCGTATTATGGCACTGATTGAACTTTGGAGGTGGTGGACGCGGCGGTGGCTTCTTCTTTTGCACCGTTGGTTGGCTCATCAGGCTCGTTGAGAAAATATCGTTTCTGATAAAAATGTAACATAAAAAAAGATTGACATTACTCTTAGAATTATATCCTACGTATTGTTTCAAAGTTTACGTAGAAAGTTACAACGTCGATTTATTATACATTTGCCAATGTAAAAACGACGCAACGCATTACGTTCTTCCAAGGTACACGCTGCTATTGCAACAACATACCTGCTACTATACTCTGTACCATGCTCGACCGAATTTCCCTTTACGTAAACATAATTTCTACGTTACGATATTTGCTATAATAGGATAATGTGTGAAGGATATAATGAGGAAACAAACGCTGATGCATAAAACTTACGTGCTACCCCAGACATTGCTTCTTTGTGCAAGAGCATTGACGGGTGGACGAGGGGCGGTACGCGTAGGGATCCGCATCTCTGTAAATAAACACACCAACGAGAAATTAGGATAATATCGTACGGTCGACGAGTAATGTAACGTCGCGTGACATATGTACCGCCTGACACCGATAAATACGACGTAAGCTTTTAACATAGGATGCGCGACCGTCCCCGACGCGGATGCAGTGCCGTTGAAAAAGAAAACTGCGCGCGCCCGTATAAACGAGAAAGAGAGAGAGAGAGAGAGAGAGAGAGAGAGAGAGAATAAACGACAATTTATTATGCCGTACGCCCACTCGATTCGCGTTAAACCATTCACGCATGAGCCGATTATGTGTACGTGTGTGTGCGCGCGCGCGCGCACGCGTATTCATATCGGTCCGACGACGTACCGCGCGTAAATGATAATTTTGACGTATACACGCACGCATGTGTGCACGCGACGAAACGGCAAATTCGTAGAAGCACGAATGAGATTGACCGATGTATCATCAAACTGGATTCCAACGAATACTCTTATCGCTCACCTTATCCGTATACGCCTCTTTTAGATAGAGCTCTAGTCGAACGATAGAAAGAGTCACGAAAAGATCGAGAAAAAATGATAGAGCGAGGATGGAATCACGACTCACCTGTTCTCACGTTCGCGGCCATTTTTCGATCGACGCGCTGACGACGCTTTCTCGTCCTCGTGGCGGGACAAAACGATCGATTTCGACTTAAACTTCGTCAATTCCTTTCTCTTTTATCTTTTTTCTTTCGTTTTATTAAAATATCTCCGAAATGTAATTTACGTACCTTAAGAATTGCCGTCATTCATAATATCGCTATTTAATGGTTATCCAGAAAATCCTTCTTTTTTCGAAGAAGAGAAAAAGAAAAAATCAAACGGTTCGGATAGACGCGCCTTCGAGAAGGTTATGGCATTATCTCGCATAACGAATTTTCTCTAATCTAACCTAATTTAATACATTTTTATATACGTTTTTAGTAAGGATTATCAAATGTCTTACCAATGAAATTGTTGGAGACTTTCGACGTTCATTATGACGTAAGACAAATTCTTATCGGCGATATATCTCATTTACTTTCTTTGTTTTACAATTCTCTTATCGATCGAGGATTGGTCGTTCCTTCCTCTACGTCAATACCCTAGTGGCACGGCCAATCAGAGTGTCCCGTGCATCTGTACATAAGGCAAGGCAAAGAATGCGCGCCATTATTTAAATTTGCGTTAACATGATGCTATTAAATGGCATTTTTAAAGATACATTTTGATGTATAAACTCAAAGTAAAAAAAAAACAAAACTTTATGCATAAACCCAAAGAGAATGGACATTGACAAATAAGATGGATGAGGAACAAAAATAGAGGTAATGTAACTTAGGTACGTATGATCATGTCGTAAACATCACTTTATTTCGCCTATGTACAGAAACGTCGTTATTCTTCCTAATTAAAGTTATTTCTTTCGTTTTCTTTTAACTCGGTAGGATTATCGTCGATCGAAATTATATACATATATAGACCGTTTATGAAGGTTTGCATTCATTATTGTACCCTGACTAAAATGATAAAGGAGAAATTTGCTTTTTTCGATATTGACATGTACGCTCACCCCAAAGACGAAGAGAGTGGTGGTTGGATCGACGTTGGAGATATCACGTTGGAGAAAATCATTGAGAAAAATCGGAAGGAGAAATCGATCTAGCGAGTTTCTTTGTTTGCCTGTCTTTTTTTCTTCTCTCTTCTTTTTTTTTCTTTTTTCTTCTTTTAGCCTTACTCTCTTATAGAGACGTTATACAAAATGATTCTTTTTTTAAAGATTTATCAAATAGAAGAACACTTGGTACTTTCCGAACGTCGTCGAATCGGTCTCAGGACATCTCTCTCTCTCTCTCTCTCTTTTACTCGCGGCACGTAGAGTGTCAAATCCTTCGAGAACATTGCCTTTTTTCTTTTTTCCAAAACCGGAAGAAACTTTTTTCCGGGTTCATCTCCTAATAAATTATTCTTGCTTTTGCACAAGTTTCGTATCTTCGTCGAACCGTAGAGAAACCGTTCGAATACCCTGAACTATGGTGATCGATATATTATGATCGAAATAATTCGTACTAACGAATTGCGCTTTTAGATCGCAAAGCCGATACGCTAAGACGATAACGTATCACTAATATCTAACGTGTTTTAATCGACTTTTGTTTCCCCATCCATCTCTTATTACAGAGCAGAGTAGCCGTACGTGATACGATCGAAAGATTCGAAAGACCTGGATTCCTTTCGTAAAAAGAGAATATTTTATCAGCGTTTCGTCAATCTACCATGTCGTGTCTATCTTTCTTCGATATAATATACATGTCCATTCGACTTTGATCGTATCGTGGTGTAGGAAAAAAACGTGTCTCCTCATTCTTAATATTCGACAAATCGCACGCGGATCTTCTTCTATCGTTCTAGAGAAACGATGAACGAGCAAAAGGAGATGGTACACGAGGATGATGACACAAAATATACATATATTATACAATATAAAGAGCGGATCGATAGCCTCTGCGTGTAAAGAGACGATGATCCTCGGATCTTCGCGCGATTTTTTCTTATTATATATATGTATGTATGTGTGTGTGTGTGTGTATGTGTGTGTGTGTGTGTGTGTGTATGTATACGTGTGTGTATATATATATACACACATATATATGACACGCACACACACACACGCACACTTTTATTTTTTTCTTTTGTCAAAATAATATGCACATGTCTTTCTTTCCTTAATTCGAAGATTTTTCTTTTTAAAAATAAGACGCAGAGCTGGCGCTATTAACGCGCGGAATAAAGGATAATAATCGTCTCTTCTTCGAAGAGTCAGTCTTGTCGAGGATCGTTAACGAGCTCCGGTACGATCTGGTCCTGAGAAGCGGATCTCCCCGAAGGGAAAGTAGAGGAAGAGTATGTGGATGATGAAAAGGACGACGAGGGCGCGGACGAAGAGGAAGATGGAGGCGTGGGCGAGGGCGAGGGCGAAGGCGAAGAAAGACGGAGAGGTTTCGAGAGCCAAGGATGAAGCGGTACGTCCTCGGCATCAGGTCTCTCCGACGGTTCCTTTCTCAATAAGGATCGAATGAGACACCTTGCGCGAGGACTGAGACATTCCGGTACGGCAAATTGCCCTCGTGAAATTTTCGCAAAGAGCGAAGCATGTTCTGCATCGTTGAACGGATAACGGCCGACCAGCATCGTATAGAGAAGAACGCCAAGTGACCAAATGTCAGCTGCCTTTCCGGAATAAGCTCTTCCCGATCTGAGAACTTCCGGTGCGACGTAAGCTGGACAACCTCGACGATCGGTCAACTTGTCGTCCTCCTTATCCACTATCACCGCATCTTCCAAGCTCTCCAATCGTAGCTGCGTTCTGAAAATTAAGAAAGAAAGGTTACTACAACTTTCATAACGTATCCGTACGTATCTATGTATATACAAAAAGGAGTGAAATAAAGGAAAGGAATTGGAAAGGAGAGCGCTTTCGTCGACGTCGCGCAACGCGGAAGTCTCGAGGTGCAACGACGCGCGCCTACGTAATATTCTCTTTCTAATCTCTTAGCTAATAATACAACGCAACTCTACGTACATTATTGCTATTCCACGTTATTTGGAGAAAAAGCACCTAACTTTGCGCTAACGTCTTCTCGGTATATGCGTTAGGATCGTCAACTATGCCATTTATCATCATCGGTAAAGACGATAATCTACAAGTCGAGCGTCGGCCTTAATTTCTCGCCAACCAGCCGGCCGAGCGACGACCAGCAGCAACAGTCATATCACATCTCGTGCATCCTTCGTCGGGTATCGCTGACGCGTACGCGCGATACGTAAAAGAGAAAATATCAAGAAATATTGGCGACCGGCGCCAATCGTCTTCTCTTCTAAACACAACTCGTCGAATCTCTTTCCTTCCTGCGTGACTTTCTCATGAAGAGAGAAGAAGGAACTCTTTTCCGATTGCGATTAAAAAAAAAGAAAAAAAGAAAAAAAAAAGAAAAAAAAAAAAAAAAAGAAAAAAAAGAGGAGACGCGATCTTGAAAAGAGAAGCTCAACGACCTCGAGACACCCGTCACCGCCGAGTCGGAGGCCTACAAGAAGAAGAGAGTAGAGAGAAACGAATACTCGGATGGCTTTCTTCGCAAAACTTTCACCGCACGAGAGGAGGAGGAGAAGAAGGGGGTGGGGGGAAGAGAGAGAAAGTTCAAGAACCCCGATGGTCGATTCTACGCTGTGCCTGACTTTTTCTACTTTTTCGTTTTTCAGGAGGTCGAAAGAGCGGGCCCGAGGAATAAGCTTTGCAACGAGTTTGCAAACTCGTTGTGTTTCTCAATCGAAACACAATGGAATCGGACTATGCCCAGCGATGGGTGGTAACGTACGACGAAATTATCTCCTTCCTCGGCCCACGATGACACGCGTACTTCTTAATCGTTGCACCTTAGTTACTCCCTATCGTTTGTTTGAAAAAATTTATTATATTTCCTAGATTATCCTTGTGACATTTTACTGCTATGCTAGTTGGAAACAAGATGGGACATTGCGCGACGTGTACAACCGGACGACTCGGATCACGCGTTTCTTAATTATACCCGGCCAGTTTCAAAACTCTTCCAGTCGATGAACCAATATGCTTTTCTGCCTTGCAACATTCTCGGTCTCTCCGGTATATAGACTCGGCGAAGGAGAGGAATGCGAGCGTGCAAGGGGCGATTGGCCAACCACGCACGCCCGTTCTCGCTCGACGATCGATTTATGCTCCGCTTCGATCTCTCTCTCTCTCTCTCTCTCTCTCTCTCTCTCTCTCTCTCTGTCTGTTAGAAACGGTATATGATTTAGTTTAATAGGTATTTTAACGTTAAGTCGAATTCATGGCTGCCTATTATCGTTCGAAGGGAAGAAAAAGTAGTTCGTATATCTTATCAGATAGGAAAGGAAAGAAAAAAAGGTATAATTTTGCTTACTTGGCTTCGTCGGCAAAGACAAACTTCCGAAGTTTGAGGTCCCTGAGGACGACGCCGTACTCGTGACACGTGGCAACGGCCTTGGCTGCCTGCCGGAAGAGTCGTCTCGCTTCGGGCTCGCGCAATCTCCTACGTGCTCTAACGTAAGCGTGCAAATCTCCGTGATGGCCCTCCAAAAGGAGATAACGACGACCACCGCTACCTTCGACGATTCCAGCAAGTCCACTAGCAGCGTCCGTTCCTTCCAATCGAAGATGTGCTTGCAACAAGGCTTCACATCCTTTATCACCTTGACTCAGTGCCTGAAATTTCATCGAAACCCATTTAGTTTTCGA